AACCTAAAAAATTAATAATTTGTGACTGATTAATAAGTCATGACGTATAATATTTGTGATCTGTAACTTATAAATTTGTTTATTCGTAACCAAAAAATAATATGTGACATAAAAAATTTTATTTGTAATCGAAAAATAAGTTGTGACCAATAATTTGATAAGTTGTGATTAATTATTTTTTTGATTTATGACCGATGAACAAACTGTGACCTACAAAATATTTGAATTGTGATCATAAAATAATTTGTGATATAAAATTTCTGATTTGTTACCGAAAAATAATAAGTGACTAATTAAGTTGTTAATTTGTGACCAAATTATATAGATATGTGACCTAAATATATTTAATTAATAAAATAATTAATTAATTAAATCATAAATAAATTTTAATAAAAAACTGATTTTTGAAATTTGAAACTTATTTTCTTGATTTTGAAATATGTCATACTTAATCTCTTACCTATGAAATTTTCCCTTAAAATATTAATTCCAATATTACATTTCCACATTTTATACTCCAAACATACTAACGTTTTTAAGTAAAAAATGAAAAACCAAATCCATGTATGTTTCTTGTGATTTGTGCTCAAAAAATTAGGTCACCAAATCTTTCCCTTTTCAAAATTCATAATTTCAAGCTTTACCTTCTTCCTTGATTTATCCAAATTTCCTTTTGTTGCATTCAAATTCTGCTTTCCGAACCCTAATCCCTAAAGCCAAGATTCAACATCTTGTGTTCTTTGTTATCTACCATAGATTTAACTTCGATTCCAACGAAGAAGAAAGCCATCAAATCCCTCGTAAATTTATCTCTTTTTAGTGGATATTATTTTTAATGTTTTTTAGAATTTATTATATTATATATTTTTCCCCTCGAAAAAGCTATTTTGGTTCTTCTTTTTCCTTTTTTTGAAAAATTTATGAATTGCAATTTGAAATTTTATAATGCATAAAGATTGTTCTTGCACTGCAATTTTCTATTAAACCTATGGTTTGCTAGAATTTGTATTTGGTATTTCAGCTATTTTCCTTGAAAACTTTGATTTTGTGGAATTTAATTTATCATAATTGGGGTTTAATGTTCCCAATTAAGGGTATTGAAACTAAATGTTCGTCGGTATTATAAGGTTTATCGCTAGTCATAATATTTTCTCCAACATCCAAATGACAATCGAATATACTTAAAAGAGGAGTGCTACTTGCACAGACACTTTTGCACAGAGCCTGTACAGGTGTTCTCACATGGGGTGGACCCTACACATGGGATTCACTCCCATGTGAGAGATCCTGTGGAAAAGGGCTTGTGCACGAGGCTTTTTTCTACTTAAAAAGGCAAAGAGTACGATCAAATCAAGAGTGCGATCAAGAAACAAGATGTATAAGGTGCAATGGGCTTGTGGATTAATTCTGTTGGGCTGCAGCAGATCAATATGTGGGCTAATTTTGGAAGGGTGGATTGTGGCCTATGCGTGTGGTCATTTTTGGGCTGCCCATTGGAGTTAGGCTTTTTAAGTTCTTTTGTACGTTAATCAACAAATTGATGCTTCTTGATTATCCAACATCTTTTAGGAGGATGTCAATGAGATGAGATCGAAGAAAATAATGGAGATTGTCGAAAATTACGACTTACCAAATATTGTCCGTTTAACATAATTCTATATATAATTATATTTTGATTATAATTACACATATCATATTTAGACTTATTTATTCCTATATAATGTAATGAATACCAATGGGAAAATTATTAAGTCAAAAGTTTATTAGTTAGGTGAGGATACAAGGCGTGGGACCTCTTGGCTCACTTGGAATACGTACACCCTTGCCTTCAAAAGCCAAGCCAACTCAAGAGGGTTCTAAATGATTTTAAGTAACATTGTTATCATAGCCATTTATCGAGATTATTAATTTACCGCATTGACTCGACTCAATACCCAAAAACTATATTATTTAAAGCGAGATTATTAATTTATATAACGCTCATTTATTGAGGTTAACTGTATACTTGTTTTTTTCCAATCTAAACCTATCTTTACACTTTGCATTATGTTGTACTGTTGATACAATGCAAATGATATTCTTTGAAATGGAAAATTAAAAAATATAATATATCTTTAATTCACTGTAATATCATCTATCCAATAAAATCTTATATTAAATATATTTTAAGTTCTAATCTGTGTATTCTATGCTAAGCCTCGTTTGATTTGGATAAAAATTAGATTGATCAAAATTGATGAAATGTATAACTGAAAAATTGAAAAATCGTGAGTTCAATAAAATGTGTGGTTGAAAATAAATTTAAAAATAAGAACCAAACATCGAATAAATATATTTTATGTTCTAATGCGTGCCTTTAGCAGCCTAAATAAATAAGATCTTAATAAAAATAAATATTTTTTTATGAATTGCTCTACTTCCCATACCAACTTAGATGGTGGCAAAACGTGGCACCTTGTCGTGCGCTTATTTAATACTATTTTTTTTACTGCGTAATTGTTTATTAGTAAGATTCAGTCTCTACTTGTTTATCGTTAATTTTTTTTATTGCGTAATTGTTTATTAGTAAGATTCAGTCTCTACTTGTTTATCGTTAATTTTTTTTTTCTCAAACTCATTTTCACAATAAAATATTTATACGTAAAATCAAAATTTTTTCATACTTTTTAACTACACATTGTTCAAGAATTCTCTATTCCAAAAATTATTTTCTCTTTTATAATGGTAGACAAACAGCGCTCAAGGATATATGATTCAAAAATAACCTCTGTTTGGTTTGAATAAAAATCAATTTTTTTTTAATAAATTTTGATAAAAATTTATGAAATATGAGGTTACTAAATGGATTATTTATTTATTAATTATTATTATTATTATTTTGAACGTGGGTGTCCGGATTCCTACTATGATTGATTTCTTTTTATTTTCGTTGTTTGGGCGAACAATGTTTATTGAGTGGTGCTGACAATTTTTGTGTATTTTGTTACTTTCCAGTGTGTACCAGGTAGGATGGTTGCGAGGTGTGGGGGAAGAAAATGAACAATAATTTTTTTTTATTTGTTAATTGATTATTGAAAAAATATAAAATTAATTATAATTTTGATTATTGGTCAAAATGATTTTTTTTTTTCTGGATAGCACAGAGGATCTGTTCATTTGTCCTTCAACTGCAATCGAGATAAAATGTTTGGGATTGTAGATGTAAAAATGAAAGACTTGAACATAACCTGCAATAATTTTAAAAATTTGAGGTGTCAACAGCAATGCCCCCTTTATTAATATAAAAAAATCATCATGTTTTAATTAGGCAATTTATTTGAGTTAATTATTCCAATAGTCACTAAATTTAGGTCCATATTTTTAATTGATCAATAAATTTTACAATGTTGAGATTTGATTATTGAACTAAGCTCCACGTCTTCAATTGCTCACTGATATTTAAAATGTCTAGTTTTGACCACTAAATTTTGAAAATTGTTATACATTACTCGCTGTAAACACAACATTTTTCAAAGTTCAACATTTATGCTATTGAGTAACATACAATATTTTATAAAGTTCAGTGATCAAAATTCGACATTATAAATTTTAGTGAACAATCGAAAACATGGATTTAAATTTAGTACCCAAAACTTGATATTTTAAATTTTAGTGATCAATCAAAGACATGAACCTAAATTCAATGATCATTAAAACAATTAATTCGATTTATTTTTGCTAGATCGATGCCACCAACCCATAGTGAGTTACATACACAATCCCCAATGGTTGGTAACAGCTTACATGAACGGTTTTCATAAAGGGCAAATGCTACACGTTGACTTTGGAATTTTTCTGTCATTCTTACGAAAATGGCAATCTAACGGGGCACATAAAGCACGTTGATTTGGAATTTTTTTGTCTTCATTANTATTTATTAATTATTATTATTATTATTTTGAACGTGGGTGTCCGGATTCCTACTATGATTGATTTCTTTTTATTTTCGTTGTTAGGGCGAACAATGCATATTGAGTGGTGCTGACAATTTTGTGTATTTTGTCACTTTCCAGTGTGTACCACGTAAGATGGTTGCGAGGTGTGGGTGAAGAAAATGAACAATAATTTTTTTTTATTTGTTAATTGATTATTGGAAAAATATATAATTATAATTTTGATTATTGGTCAAAATGATTTTTTTTTTTTTTTTTTGGGATAGCATGTAGGATCCGTTCATCTGTCCTTCAACTGCAATCGAGATAAAATGTTTGGGATTGTAGATGTAAAAATGAAAGACTTGAACATAACCTACAATAATTTTAAAAATTTGAGATGTCAACAGCAATGCTCTCTTTATTAATATAAAAAAATCATCATGTTTTAATTAGGCAATTTATTTGAGTTAATTGTTCCAATAGTCACTAAATTTAGGTCCATACTTTTAATTGATCAATAAATTTTACAATGTTGAGATTTGGTTATTGAACTAAGCTCCATGTCTTCAATTGCTCACTGATATTTAAAATGTCGAGTTTTAACCACTAAATTTTAAAAATTGTTATACATTACTCGCTGTAAACACAATATTTTTCAAAGTTCAACATTTATGCTATTGAGTAACATACAATATTTTATAAAGTTCAGTGGTCAAAATTTGACATTATAAATTTCAGTGAGCAATCGAAAACATAGATTTAAATTTAGTGTCCAAAACTTGATATTTTAAATTTCAATGATCAATTAAAGACATGAACCTAAATTCAGTGACCATTGGAACAATTAATTCGATTTATTTTTGCTAGATCGATGCCACCAACCCATAGTGAGTTACATACACAATCCCCAATGGTTGGTAACAGCTTACATGAACGGTTTTCATAAAGGGCAAATGCTACACGTTGACTTTCGAATTTTTCTGTCATTCTTACGAAAATGGCAATCTAACGGGGCACATAAAGCACGTTGATTTGGAATTTTTTTGTCTTCATTATGTACCAATGATAGCTAAACACGTGTCCACTGCCCCAAATCAATGCAGGATAATCTTCATCCAACGGTTCGATTACACTCACGAATCACGAGCAGCAGCCCCATGAGTCCATGAGAAAATGATAAATCACAAGTATAAGAAAAATTCGTGGGGAGACGACGACTCACAGAGAGTCCCAGAAGAAGAAACTAAAGAGAGGTTAAAAAAGATGGCGATAGGGATGAAGGCGATGCCGTTTTCTTTTGTGGCTCACTTTTTGGCCGTAGTAGGTGCAATTTTGGTGCTTATTTGGTGTATCAGCTTCAGGGGAGGTTTAGCATGGGAAGCCCCAAATAAAAATCTCATCTTTAATGTAAGCCCTCCTCTTTGCTGATTCGCTTTTATTTCTTGAATTTTGTAGCTTTTTATTCATGTCTCTGATTGAAATTGCTTTTGATGCATATCAATTTGTTTATAGCCTGGGTTGGATTTATATTTATTGCTTTTGTTCTGATGTGGCGTTTACTGAAATTGAATTCAGGAAATTTTGATAACATTGTTTATATGAATTGAGGGTAGTAAACGTTATGATCTTACAGTCTTACCATTACCGTATAGTTATTGCAATATTTCAGTTAAGGACAAGGATTTTAACCTCCGTCTACCTCGTTCTTCGGAAAAAACTTGTTTCAATTATGTTTTCTTAACTTATGGATTGAAATGGTTGGATCTTGTTTTGCATTTCTTCTCGAAGCCGCTGTTGCTCTTGCACCTCATAGTTCGCTTCTAGTTTTTTGTCTAACCCCCTAGGACTAGAATTCAAAGTGCTGTGCTAATTTAATTGGAAAGTGGAAGCAAAAGTTACCACACAGCTTTAGGGCCTAAGGTAGTTTCCTGGTTATTTGGTTCTTTCATATCTATCTTCTTCATTTTTTTTACCCTCCTTCTTGATGGCATTTTTTCCAGAATTTAATGTCCCAAATCTACACACTTCCTGACTTATGCAAAAAGACAAATCACTGTCATTTTCGGACCTTATCCTTAAAATGAATAAGTCTTAGAAGAAGGTTGAGTGTGGCAGAAAGGTCTTAATTGCTGATAAGTACACCTGTGCATTAACTGGATCAGTTTGAACTCTTTGCAAGAGCATTTTAAAGGTTTGAGGGATATTTTACTCAAAGAAGTAATAAGAATTATGAGATCATTCATATAACAAGCGAGTTATAGGATCATGTGTGAAATCACTAGAAGCTCAGCATCTTCTTCCAGATCATTGGCTAATTCCTAGCATTTGGAAATTTTGATTTTATGTTGAATATCTGTATAATATACTTCTGTAATGACTAAGAAAAAAAATTCTTACATAGGAATTTCTTGGTTCTAATCTGTTATAACTTACAACTTACAAGTAGGGTTCATATAAGGTGGTCATTGTCTTTCTGCGGATTTATTATCTTATTATTTTCTTTTGTTCCCAGATTCATCCTGTCTTAATGCTTATAGGATTTGTCATCATTGGAGGTGAAGGTAATTGAAACAATGTCCTAAGTTATAGTTACAAATTTAATGAACATTTAGCCTTAAATCTGAATTTATGATTTTCTTTACTCTCTCTCTCACTCTCTCTGGATTCCCTATATGCAGCCATTATGAGTTACAAATGCCTCCCATTGAAGAAGCCGGAGAAGAAACTAATACATCTAGTTTTGCATGCTATTGCTCTCATACTCGGCATAATTGGAATTTACACAGCATTCAAGTTTCACAACGAAAGCAATATTGCCAATTTATACAGTTTGCACTCTTGGCTTGGAATTGGTGTTATTATTCTCTATGGCATTCAGGTACTTCTTTAATTATGTATACACTTCATTTGACTCTGGCCAAATATAATACTTATTTGGAACTTAAGTGTTTTGTATTGCTTAAGAAGAGCATCTTCAATGGACTCTTTAATACAAAATGATAATTATTTTAGAGAGACAATGCTTAAAAACAAGCTCTGAGAGACACTCTATTTTAAAAAGGGGTTTGGCTCTCCAAATTTAGAGCCAAACTCACTCTACATTCTTAATATACAATGTTGCCTTTAATAAATCATAGATTTCTATACTCTATTTCTTAAACTATTCAAATCATATTTAAATTGATTGGCCATTGACGTAAAAAAAATTATGTTAAATTAAAATATGAGGAGAAATCAAGAAATATTTGTTGAGAAAAACATAATAAAGAACCAAAATAGAAAGCTTTGTTTGAGTGCATAAAAAATTTGACTCTCGAAATTTAAAGTTACTTTTTATAATTCATAAGATGCTCTTTTTATTAATAAATAGTCTCTTGGAGATGCTATAAATGTCTATGAATCTTGCCTCGCTAAAAGATACCTTATCACTTATGTTCTATATGTCTTTTATTGCATCGTCAAATTGTTTATCGAGTGCAAACAAGCTGAATAATAATGAAGCTGGAATTCCCATTGATTTCTTGAAACAACGCATCTTTATCTTTCTGAACATTGGTTTATCACAGAGCAAGTCCATTAATTTGCAGCAAGCCATATTAAACCTTAGACTTATGTTCAGTCCTTGAAGCATATTCCATTGGCAAGTAATTAATGGGCTTTGCTCACCAAGTTTTTGCATTTTTCATATTGAGGTAATCTATCCTATTTTAGAAGGCTTTATTGCAACCCCTTAAATAAAGACCTCTACCATTCTTCGATTCCATAAAACTAACTTTATTTAGTTGTTTCTATTTCTCTTCTTAATCTCCTATTCTAATGTTATTCTAATTTGCAGTGGATTTATGGTTTCCTCATTTTCTTCTACCCCGGGGGTGCAACTACAATTAGAAGCCAGTCACTCCCATGGCACGTTCTGTTTGGCCTTTTTGTGTACATTTTAGCAGTTGGCACTGCTACACTAGGATACCTCGAAAAGCTAACATTCCTCCAGAACTCTGGTGTTGCAAAATATGGCTCGGAGGCCTTCCTAGTCAATTTCACAGCCATTGTCACCATCTTGTTTGGGGTATTCGTGTTCTTGACAATTCTTTCTCAGCCTCCTCAAGAAGATGAATACGGTTACTCAGCTATATAATGTCATCTACAGCTGCTTTGTTTTTGGTTTTTGCTTTTCTTTTCTTTACCCTATTTGCACTTGGTTCGAAGTTCTTGTGTACTAGAAGGGTGTAAGATCTCTCACTGTGAGTACATATGTATTTCGATACATAGAAGTTGTATTACTTCTAATTATTCTGCTCATCTACAGCTGCTTTGTTTTTGTTTTTGTTTTTGCTTTTCTTTTCTTTACCCAATTTGCACTTGGTTCGAAGTTCATGTGTACTAGAAGGGTGTAAGATCTCTGGCTGTGAGTACATATGTATTTCGATACATAGAAGTTGTATTACTTCTAATTATTCTGCAATTACTTTCTCATTTTCTTCGCGTTTTTTGTTGAAACATGTATATTAATAAAAGATATGACATTTTCCTGCCGTTACAATCAAAAAATTTTGTTTTATTTTTTAAATAAAATATTCATTTGCTATTTAAATTGTTCGTTTCAAAATCAGCTGGTGAGTTGGGGTGTGTGTGCGCGCGCACGCATATTCATACAACTTTGTTATGCGTTTTTTAAGCTTAGCTGAAGTCCAAACTTGTAAAATGGATAGGAAAGTAGAGAGGAAAATCATCTGAATATGACCAAACAGAGAATCCATTGGAGCTCACCAAATAAGTAAGAATTAATCTGGTAGCAATCTTATTCAGGTTGCTTATATGAGGCAATCTTGGACATTGAGGGCTTGTTTGGTACGATTACAAGAATGCCTAATAATGATGAATATAAGCACAAGCATTGCTGCCATATAAACTGAAAAGGTCCCAGAAACCAGCAGGATGTCAATTCTTAATGGATCTTTGTCGCGAGTACGGAATTTGGAGTTATTTGACGGTGCTTGAAATAGAAAAGCCTGTGACATGTTATCTTGGGAGGACATGTAGAGTAGTAATTTCTTATGAGCAAATCCAATTTTAGTCTTCAGGTGAAAACTGCTTATTTTAGCAATCAACTATTTATTAAAATGAATATTTCTCAACATATTACTAGACTAGACATCCTCAATTTGTCCTTGTAGGAATTCCGTATCATTTCCCCCGACTGGGAAACCTAGTAGTAGCTTCAACATGGCATCAGAGGAATCATGAATCTCATATGATTTCTACAAGTCTGAGTAAGCTGTTGTCATATCTTCTGCTCTGGTCTTGCAGTTAATGGGTTCTACATTTTCTTTAATGTTTTGAAACGACTTTCCAAGCTCAGAATTCCGCAGACGGATGAAATAGTCGCCTTGATCAGATTTATATACCGATGACTGATTATTCAGAAGCAATGCATTGGCAGAAAAACTCGACTTAGCCTCAACTCTGACATTCTCCCACTCCGATGGGGAGTCTAATTTCATAACCATCTCAGAAGAGGCCGGAGGATGACTGCATTTGCTGCTGAAATGCTTCTTCAAGTGCGAGTGCCACAAATTCTTAATGTCATTATCCTTTCTTCCAGGTAAATGAGAAGCAATAGCAGCCCATCTGAAGGAAATTATGAATCAGTAGAACATTAATTTTTTGGGTGAAGTGTGTATATATATAGCACACTAATTACCAATAATTGTAATCAGTTTGGGGATCCATCATTATCTCCCACCACCAATTGTAGTGTGCCTCATCGTATTCATGAAGATGCATATGTAGGCAAAATTTGAAGGGCTAAAGATTTGTATAGATACAAAGTAACCTTGTACAATATAATAGGCCCTTTGTCGATATAAAGGTACGTAAAAGAAGAGACAACACAAAATTAATTACTTGTTACCGAGCATGCCCTGAAGATGAATAATAGTATTCTCTTCCTCGGGACTAAGGGGGCCTCGTTTAATGTCTGGTCGAAGATAGTTTGCCCAACGAAGACGACAACTCTTTCCACACCGAAGGAGACCTAAGAATTGTCACATAATCAAGAAATCCCCCTTAGTTCTCAAAGAGGCAAAGCTCCAGGTAAAATGTGGTCACTTTCACCATATTCATCATTTAGAATCCTTATTCAGTTTGAAGATATGACAACTACTGACTATTATCCGACCTAATACATATATAGAACATCAATATACCCAAGAGAGTGATCCCAGTCGATGTGATAAATGTACAGTTTTCAATAATCTGGCAATTACCCCACTTTTTAAAGGCAGACCATCTTATTTTTAGGAGATAAAGACTGCCATTATTACTAGTTTTAAGCACCTCTTTTCTTGTTAGTAGTGGCATTAAAAACCTTCCATCAGAATCCTTTTAAAATTATTCTAATTTTTTTTCCCGATTAACAATATATCTAAAAAAACTCTTTATTTATTAAAAAAAAAAAAAATCTTATATACAATAGGGAGCATCTTTAAAAGTAGAGAGTATATATTTTTACACACCCTAACAATGCTTTGTATTTTGACCCTTTATTTTTTTATTTCAATTCTCTTCAATTTTTAATTAACATACTATTTTTCCATGTCAATAACCAATCAATTCAATTATGATTTGAATAATGCAAAAAGTACAATATTGAAATATGTAACTTATTAAATGCAACCATTCTTAATTAAGAAGTAGAGAGTAGATTTAGAGCATTTTCAAGTGACACTTTAAATACAAAATATTCTTTATTTTAGAGTCAATGCTTAGAAATAAGTTCAAGAAACTCACTATTTTAACTTTTTAAAATAAAAAGTGGGTTTGGCTCCTAATTTGGAGAGTTAAATTCATTCTTTATTTTGAATTAACAATGATTGTATATAATAATTTACAAATATCAATACTCTACGATCTAAATTATTTCAAATCACATTTGAATTGATTGACCATTAACATATAAAAAAATTGTGCTGAATGAGAAGATGAGACGAAATCAATAAATATTCATTGAAAAAAAATAAAGAGCAAAAATAGAGAGTATTGCTGGAGTGCATAAAAAAATTTATTCTTTCATTATAATTTTTATTATGTATAAAGTGCTCTTTATAAATAAAGAGTCTCTTGGAAATGTTAGATTTCCAAATTTGAAGAGTAAAATTCACTCTTAATTTAAAAAGTTAAAATAAAGAGTTTCTTGAAATTTATTTTTTAGCATTGACCATCTAAATTTGAGAGCTCTAAGAATTCATAATGAAAGAAATAAAAGAAAAACCAGCATGGTCATTTAAGTCTGGAAAATTAGACTAAAGGATATGAAAGTTCTATAATCAATTTACTGAAAAAAAGTTACTTATATTTATTGGGAAGTAAGAAAAAGTAATTTAAACCTGTGTGTTTAGGGAGATCTCGCCAAGTGCCATGGCCATTCTTTGTGATGAAATCGACAAGAATTTTGTCTTCTTGAGGAGTCCATGCACCTTTTCTCACTCTCTCTTTCTCACAGCATGGTTTTCTCCATTTCTTTTTCTCTCCTTCCTCTTTCTCTCTCTTGTTTCCCATTCTTGTAAGAAAAGCCAACAAAAAAACTGCATAAAAAACACTTTTTTTACGACAAAATTGAACAAGAAATGTAATCCCAGAATAAGTGAACAAGATATTTGCAAGAGTCTAAGTTGCTTAGTAGAGATGGATGATATACCCAGGAAAAAATGCAGCAAGAGCACTTCAAAACAGGTTTTTCAAGAGAATTGCACAAGAAAACGTAATCCCAGAAAATGAAGAGGGATTGTATATGATATATATATGTATTGATAAGAAAGGTCCCAACAGACGAATCTCAAGATTATAAATGCATTTTCACAATATTAGAAACTGTTATCACAGTCGTCCACAACACGCCCAAATTTTTCCTTTTTTTTCCTTCTTTTGTTTATGTGCATTATATCGTTGTACTCTCTTTATATATTTATTTCTCTGCACCATGTTAATAAACTTTTAACTTAAGGTGAGAAATTTTACCATGCATTTTGACTATTATTATAGATGTAACTGTAGTGGATCTGGCCTTGAGTTTGGACACGGGCTACAATACAAGTATAGATGGATTTATCTTTTAAAAAAAAAATTAGATAAGTAGACATTTTAAGGGGCGGACACGGACTATAGCACGTCGAGCCTATGCCTGGATCCACCAGTACGTTCACATTCTAGTCCCTCCCTCCCAAAAGTTCCAAAGTCTATTGAACCCCGCTACATATGCACAAAAAGAATTGCCATGGAGAATCATAGGGGCCACAAACATTCATTAAACCTTTGACAAAAAACAGTTTCATCCCAGCCTATGCATAGACGCCATCTATCTCCCTGGTAATCTCCCCTGTACAAGGAGCTTACTCAATTTGAGTGTGAGTGTAGCGTGGTTTCGCTTTTTCTGTTTCACAACATTTTTGGGACTTTTCAAGACTTTCGGTTTTCTTAGGTGTTCGAAAGGAATACGCTAGCTTTCTTTTAGAGGAGAACGTGAGAGTTTTGCCAACAAAATTGACATTTAACTATGAACATTGAATTTGATTAGATTTATCAATGAACACCTTCATTTTTAATGTAACTAGGAATGCAAATAATGGGCGGGTCGGCTAGTAACCCACTCATGGCTAGTGTACTTTTTAATTTAAAATTGTATTTTTACCCCCCCTCCCCCCCTCTCCCCATCTCTCTGAAGCATAATGAAATTATGAGAAAATGGTGATCATAAATAAATTTATTTTGTCAAAATAATTATAAGATTGGAAAAAATTATATTCCTTTATCCTGGCATACCGACTACAATATGTAGACGGAATTAAAATTTTACAAAGTGAATATTTTGTGTAAATTTTATTGTTTTAGAAAATAAAATGAAATATCAATGTAAAATAATAAATGTAAAGCTTAGTGTGTCAAAAAATCAGTGATTATTATAATTATTGAAATCTTCAGAAATTGCACTAACCATCTTGTCATGTATTTGATATTCTACATTTTTTCAATATTTCAAGCACATTAGTGTATCAAATATATCTTAAATTGACTTATTTTGTGTGATAGAACTCTACCATCTGATATTGCAATTGACATCAAAGACGTTAGTCGATCACGTGCCATCAAAGTTAATATCGTATGTTGTTTTTCATTCATTCATCACCATTTAAGAAGATCAAAATTAATATCCCATCTCGGTTTCACACACTAAGACTATGGTACAAAGAATATTTAGCTAACCCAATAGTGATCATTTTGTATGGTAGTAGTACAAGAAGAAAGATGAAAAATGATGGAACTTCTTGAAGTACTCGTACTTAAACAGGTTCATAGATCATCATCATCAAGAAACGACGAAATAATATAAGACGGTAGTGGTAGATCAATATTTCTACCATATTTGGCAGCATATTTTAAGAATATAATTTTCGCAAAGTATTTTGACTTGAAAGTGCTTCTTGATCGGAGATAGTGTTTCGATTTTCGAGAGATTCGATTCCGTATCTTATTTTGATCCTAGGCATTTTTAAGAATCGAAGTTTGCATGTTAGATTTACAACCCTGTTCTATTGTGCAATGATCCTATTTACAGGCGATTTTAATGGCATTTTAGTCATTATTCATTATTTTATTTTATTTTATTGGAAGTCATGAATTAAGTTCTATTTTCAAACCTTGTTGAGGTTGTGACATTGTATGCATGCATGGGTTTAGCACACCGAAGTCCAAGTATAATCCATCAGAATTCGCCCAAGGTTTCCGTCCATATCGGAGGGTATTCCGAGGTAACTGCAAAGTCCATAGCCTTATAGTGAATCGAGCCTCCAATTCACGTTTTCACCTAAGAGATTAAGTTCTGCATGGTCCTTTACTTAGAGGCACTTCGACGACTGAGGCACTTTTTCTGTTCCAACACGCCAAGGCGATCGAGGTGTAAATGTTCATTCCATGACACTTGGACGGGCTGTTTTATGGCTAATGTGGCATTCATGTAGATAATAATTATACTAGTACTTAACAAACGCTATAATTTCTTGAATTGTCAATAATTTGTGCTCTTATATGATATGTTTATAGCATCTTTATGAAGATAGTAGGTTTGTATCTAGATTGAAGATATATGAATTTCGTCGAGTATACTTCTTCTAATGTGGACAGAGGAAACTTGGCAATGGCTATGAATATTTTCATGTAGTCCCTCGTCATTTCTTGGTTATAAATCTGGTTTGCAAGAGCTACTCCAGAAGATCCTAATTTATCTAAACGAAATTGAAGTACTTGAGCATGTCACCGTCTATAAAATCCTATACGAATGAGACATATTTTGTAATGACAACTATATAGGGTATTGTCAATTTTTAGTTTCCTACAAAGTCCTTTTCACAATAATTACAATATGCTTTCATCATGCGCTCTTGATTCTTAATCATTATTTTTCATTTATTATTATTATTATTATTATTATTATTTTATTTTATTTGGTGAAATGTTTCCAATATTCAGAAGTAAGCTCGGCAGCTTTTGCCTTCTCTTATCTCGTTGTAGATACCTCTTCTTTCAAATCATCATCAGACTCAATGATTGTCGATTCGATAGTATTGCCATTTTTAAATTTGGAACATTGCAAGCTTGAGATAAAATCGTAAATAGTAGTATTGGAACTACCAAAGAATTGGTTAATATCTTCATCGGGATTCATGGATTCAATATAATTCATAATGAATTGTCGAAAATTAATTAAGAAAAACTACAACTAATATATATAATTGATAAAAATGAAAGTTGAGATTGAAAAATATTTAAAACAAAAGAATATTTATATAATAATTATAAATTTTTACTATTAAAAATAGTGGTATATTATCAATATTGTAGAGAATTGTGAAATATGATGAAATTGATTTACCACCATTTTCTTATTTATCAACCCCAAATTCAAAATAAATAAATAATATTAATAAAACTTAGATTTAAAAATTTGAATTTGTAAGTAAAATATATTTTATAGTTTTACTTATTATTTATTTATTGACATGCTTAAATTAAAATGATTTTTATATGTCAAAACATGTTCCAAAAATGTGTTCAACTGATGAAGTCCAAACAAGGTAAGTCAGTCAGGATTGATTGGGTGCTAAAGGTTAACAGATTCTTGACCGCATTTTTTAGGGTTTCCAAACCCTAAACGAGGTGCAATATTTACCTACCTTATAGTAGTATATACAGGAACATATGCTTAACATCTTGAATATTTTTGATTGATCAAATAATTAAAAGAAAGAAAGATTATTTTAACAAATCACAACTCTCCTTAATTTAATTATTGATCATATCAAACATATTTTATACATATGCATAAACATATATTTATCTTATTGGATTGATTTGATTAATCAAATAATTAAAAGAAGCAAAAATTGTTTTAACAAATTAAAACCTTCTCTAGTTTAATTACTGACCATATCAAACATATTTATATTATTCTTACCATTTAGAACTTCCATATTTTAGGTGAGACACGTTTGTGTCTTAGAGGAGTCTTTAGATAAGTAAAGAAAATCACTAGGGATGAATAGATGCTTGTAGTAAAATTTGTCTATGTCCAAGGAACCTGTAGTAGCATGTTCTAAAGTTGTCTGATCTTCTCCTGTGAGTTCTGATCAGCTGATATATTCCAGTGAAGTACCTCAAAGCAAACATGATGCTGTTCAACCGTACTTAGAGAGAACATACATGAGCATGAATGATATAATCTTACTCAAAAATCAGGCTACTTGGCGTAAGTTAAGATTGGTGAATCTTAATTGAAGGAGTGGTTGTGGCCGAATATAATAGTGAAGTGAAGATATAGTAAAGACCGAAGGTTTGATTCCACTTCTCCAATAAGTCAAAAGGAATTAGAAAACTAGGGAGTTGCTATTTATTTGCTTTTGATTGTTTTAGTTCATTCTGTAAATTACTATACCGAAACTATTGTATTTTTTATTCTTTAATAGTAGATTATTCTACCCATGGCATGGGGGTCCGTAGATATTTCACTTAGGGGTTTGCTAGTTTTATCTGGTGTTTATCCTTATTTAATTCAACAATAGATTATATCTTGTAGAGCACAAATCTATTAAACTGTTCCAGTCAAAACTGTGCTTAAAACTGTCTGTATGAAGTCTTGACTTACTGGCGTAATCTGATTGAGACATATAATTGAGACAAATTGGTTAATTAACTACATTTTATTACTTACAGAATTAGATGCCTGAGAATGTCTGGTTTGATGGCACCTTGCTAATGCAATGTGCTATCAAGTGCAATCTACATGGTTGCAAAAAGTAGCCAAGCAAATTGCACATCTAGCTCAATGGCGAGTCGATGAGCTTGCGCATGAGATCCCACTTAACACCTCAATATGTGACAATAACTTTCATTCTTCGGAATAATTATTTTTGGGGTTAATAGCACAAAACGTCCCTACATTTGACACTTATTGCGAAAAACGTCCATACATTTCATTTTTTTTTACATTTTCGTCCTTATTTTAATATTTCATTGCTAAAAACGTCATTTTTTTTTACCATTTTTGAATGTAAAATGATCAAAATACCCTCCTATTTAAATAAAACCAAAAAAATGAAAAATAAATAATAAATTACAATCTTACTCCTAAATATTTTAAAAAGTGCAAGTGAGTCCAAATAATTATTAAAATGCCTAATAGCACAAAACGTCTCTACGTTTTAAATTGATGAAAATGACGTTTTCTATAATGAAACGTGAAAATAGGGATGAAAATGCAAAAAAAAAAAAAAAAAAAAATTAAAACGTATGGATTTTTTTGCAAGAAATGTCAAACGTATAGACGT